ATTATTAGGAATAGGCCTCTCCTTAAAAAGGAGAATTTGGCCTACTATACCACGCTAGCCAGACGGGTTGGTACAGGATTTGCCGCAAGTTTTCATTGTCATATATATTTTAATACAATACAAATACAAAAGTCTACTAATACAAATAAAAAAGTCTCTTAAATACGATAATCACTGGAACTATGAGTAACGTTTGAATGATTATTTTTGAATTAAACACAGTATTTATTTCGAAATCATATAGGCTATGAAGTATTCTGTTATAACTCTAAGCAGCGACCTTGGCAGAACGGGAAATACTTACCAAAAAAATAAGAGTACATATTGAAAAAAAAAATATTTTAACATAATAACTTTTATTATTTTTTATATAAAACTACAAAAAATATTTAATTACTACTATGTGTCCGTCGAATTATTTCAAAATTTACGTATTGGCAAATGTGTATCTGCATGCTGAGAGATGAACTAAGATATTTACTGAGGTTAGTAAGCGAGGGAACACGAAACTATTATATTATAATATCACTACAGCGCTTATCACTCAAAGTGCGTATTATTTTACACATTACACACATTATAACGCATTAATATTGTTAACACAATTTTTTCACCATCGATAGTTTAAAAACACATTCCCATATAACTAAAATTCTTGAAAATTGTCTATCACAAAATTAAGTTAATACGAGTATTGTTTAAGAACAAGGCATCAATTAAAGCGATTTTTTCTTTGGTGTAGATGTTTTAGATTTCAAATCTTTTTGGTTTAGTGTCGCTGTCTTCTCTTTTTCATCAGTCTTGGGGTCAACAGAACGAGTGCTCTTTACAACCTTTTTTGGAGGAAGGGTTTGTGTTGCTGTTTGGGTCTTATTTTTCTCATCAGTCTTAAAATTGTCAGAACTAGGGTTCCTTGTAGTTGTCTTCAGCGTAAGGTTTTGTGTTGATATTAGCACCTTATCTTTTTCATCAGTCTTAATGTTATCGGAACTAGTATTCTTCAGAATTTTCCTAGGAGGAGCGTTAAATTTCCATGGCTTTATGCGTATATTTCCAGTCCAGTTTTCTGCCTTTAATATTTTTTCCGCAAGCTCCACTGGTACTCCAATTTTAAAAGAAGCATATTCCGCACGAGTCTTTAAAGCTACAACTGTACAATCAGGATATCCACATAACGACTTAACATATGTAAGAACTCTTTTGGCAGTCGTTCCCAATAGGACGTTATATAAATGAAGGTGAGTCCATCCATTCGCCACTTCCAGTCCAGGAGGATAAGTGATTTCCTTTCGTTGAAGTGTCTTTGAGTGAACACGACCTTTCTGTTTCTTGGTCACAACAGTCCATTCGTCAATGTTAGAGCTATTGATATGTTTTCTATCGACTTGAGTTTTCTCGTTATTAGTTTTTAATATCGTGTTATTATTATCAGACGATTGTGATTTTTCACTCGAAACAACGGTATCTGGAACTGAGAGAGAACTACAACTACTATAGTATCTTTCTATATTATTTTCAACATCAGATGTATCCTCTGGTTGTATTAGTTCTTGATTGTGTTCTAGTTCTATCGTTTCTTCATAGTCATTTATTTCAGGGCTCTCATATCTTTCGTAATGGTTATTTAATTTTTCTTTTAATGTATCAATTTCATGATCTTTTCTTTTTATTACCATATCATATTTACTAATCATTTGTTTCATAGTCGTAGTAACATTAGAAAGCGTGTTTACTAGTTCAGCATTCTGGGTCTTGATGTCGGTTACAGTAAGCTTTAAACGATTCAGTTCTAGGTTTAGAGACATATAATCGGAAGACTGATGGGGATGATAACATGATGTGCCATACATTGTTGTATCAACTGGCTTTTTGGCTTTAAGTAGATATTTTGTTGCTAAAGAAAATATTGTTTATGTGATAGCTTCCCAGCATTTAGATTTAAAGTAAATATTATACGGCTTCCTTTATGAAATTGTATGAATCGGTTCTGTTAATTTTCAATGACAGTTTATTGCAAAACAAAACAGGTTTTCATAAATTCATTTGTTAGATTTTTTTTTGCAGCCGTTGATTCTTTACAATCGGGTATCTCCAAAGTTCTTTAGTATCAATAAATCGCAAAGCACTAGTAAGAAGATTTGAATATTCTTTCAGTTGTGAAGGTAGATATCGTAATCAACTTTAAACCTTCTTTCAGATAGCAATGAGATCGTTATAAAACCCTATAAATGCCTTAGATGACAATTCGATCTCAAACATGTAGTCCAACACTTAAGTTCACTGTAACGATGAAAAATTGTCTTTGTGACCTTGTGAGCTGTATGCGCAGCCCGTAAATTATTTCATCACATACTTGACACTTTTTTTTTAGAATTATCTTTTCACTTTACTGTAGTTTATTATAAATAATTAGTTTATATTGAACAATTTAAACCGGAATGTTCAAACTGTAGTTGTTAACGCTGAGACTGATGTCTCCCTTATGATAGACGTTCAAAAGCTAACACGAAGTAACTTTTGTTGTGGCGCAATACGAGGAAATTTGTTGAAATTGATTATCCCGTGAAACTCCGATTAATGGAATGTATTGCAAGTGGTGTAATACAAACGAAATAAATATTGTTGCATCATACACCAAAAATAACCTGTCATGTAGTTGAGACAGCTTTGAAAAATATAAATATATTTTTTATTTATTAAAAAAGACAGCTTCCGCATTAGGAATATATCCTGTGTCTTTAAAAACTGGACTTTAAAAACATGCATGAAACGGACACAAAGAACACCCAGACTCGGCACAACAATTTGTGGATCACACAAAGTGTCGTCCCATGTGGGGATCGAACCCACAGCACTTAGGGTAGTATTAAGTGGCGTGGCGACCGCTTAAACCACTACGCCGCTTGCTTATAGTCATAAATCGTTTTGTAATAAGCTTAAATATTTCTTCAAAATTTAGTATAATCAATTTAATTAACAAGTAATAATAAAAAAAGTAAAAACCCGAATGCTAAACACACAACAACTTAAAAGTAATGTTCTAAAAAGATCGGAACAGTACGAGGTCCGACACAAAAATGGCATATTTTTTCGATATTCAGTTACGACAGACTCCTAAACTAGGTAAGAAACCTGTACCTGAAAAACCAACATCTCGAAATAAATGCTTTTACTGGGTGAGTGAGGTTACCGGAGCCCAAATCCCGCTGACTCGAGCGGGAGGGACTCCAAGGGCGGTGACGCAGTTGTGACTTGAGTTGCAGGTGTCCACGGGCGGCGGTAGTTGCTTACCATCAGGTGACCCGTCTGCTCGTTTCCCCCTTATACCATAAAAAAAGAAAAAAAAATGCAGATTGCTTAAGAACTGAAGTATTTTGTGAGTTTGCACAATATTAAACAAGTTTTGTAATGTGTACGCAAGTAAATATTGTTATTGCACAACAATGAGTAACAGTAAATTACGTCATTTGTAGCGATTCAAAAAGGTGACAATGGACATCAGTGTTTAAAACGATTATAATCGCTGTCATCATTTTAACTATCCTACGGTCCTCCTACTATCGAATGTAAGTTTGTTTGTCACTCTATGAATTGCCAAGCAATCAATAAAAAAACCGGTCAGGTACGAGTCGAACTTGTGCGCCGAGGGTTCCGTAGCTACCCAGATTTTACGTAGATTTTCGCGGAAATTTTTAAGTACCAAAATTTATCTTAATTTTTAACTTTTTTTATTTTTTCGAATTATTCCTTTATTTGTGCTGCAGGACGTTTCTTTTTGCCAAATTTCGTGATTCTAGGTCAACGGGAACTACCATATAGGTTTTCGACCCAAAACCTATAGGCTACTTCCACCTTTGACCTAGAATTGTAAATTTTGGTTAAAAGCAAGGTCTTACAGCACAAGTAAAGGGAAAATTCTGAAAAAAATAATAATTGAAAATAAGGTAAATTTTGGTGCCTACAAGTTTTCGCGAAAATCGAAATTTGCCCATATCTTTTTATTGTGTTTACTCAGGACCTTGATTTTTATACACCTTATAGGGACCATAGACCTCAGTATCTGATATAAATTTTAACTTGCTGGTGCTACCCGTTTCTGAGAAAATCGGTGGTGACACACGGACAGACGGACAAGAAAGTGATCTTATAAGGGTTCCTTTTTTACCTTTTGAGGTACGGAACCCTAAAAAGTAACAGAACTATGATTTTTTGAAGATTTTTTTTGGCACTTTTTTTATTTCTGACAATTATAGAAAGGGTAATCTCGTTCCAAAATGTGTAATTATGATAACGGGTATCACGAGCCATTAAATTGCCCGGAGTTTTGACAGAAGTTGCACTGGCAGATAGCCACGTACATAACATAATTATGTGTTTCTAAACACATGTATATTATCGATAAATTACACCAATTACACACCATCATGCAATTATTTGTCCTAGGTGGGAATCGAACACTTCGCACTCAGGGTCACTCACCACCACTAGAGCTGCTGCCTTACGACCTAAAGGTTTACCTTACCCCGCATTTTCTTCTTCCCTTGTCCTGACTAAAAACGATTAAAGTATCAAGGAGGGTTGGCATCAGAGATGAGCCAAGTAATAAAATAAATTACCCAAAATCTTTATCACTGTTATAAAAATGGGAAAAGGTCAGAATGGTGATGATGCAAAATCACTAAATAATGTTGCGAAACATGCATTACAAAATTTCCCAGAAATTAGATAAATTATTGCGTCATCTTATGTTTTCAGACTTTTCAGATGAGTAAAGCCTTATGTGAAATCGATTTCATCATATTGAGCAACAATAGCTATACATATATACCTAAGATGCATTATGTCGGCATTCGAGCTTCAACCTTTGAAACGAACACATCTCGCATTGTACCAAGATGAGAAACCACTTCGAGTACGAGTTATTCCGATTCCCACCCTTTTCTTCTCACTTCAACCCGAGGGATCATAGCTTTGGACCTTTCGGTGGAAGCAGAGCTGGATGGCCTAACTTCAATAGACCTGGCTGTAGGCCTCATGGACCCCCTGGATTTACCAACTGCCACGGCCCTCCTCATCATAGACAACATGACCGACATAGGTCACCTTCTCCGCCGCGTGAAGTTGATGACCTAGAAAGACCGAGAACTCCCGACCATGGTCATCACGGCGGACGACATGAGCGATGCAAGTCACCTGGGCACCATGGATTTTCGAGATGCTGCCGTGAACGTCAAATAAACCATCATGGAGAAAACGAGAGGTGTAGTTGGGGACATGGTATGCCATGTGGACCTGGCAAAGGACCTAAAAGAGGACATCATCACCACCACTGGTCTGGTCTTGACCATCATGGTTTTGGTCCAAGATTTTGTCGTAGGGGCTTCTTTGACCGTTTCGGTCCTGATCATTGTGAGCCACATTGTGGGCCAAGATTTGGTCATCGAAGACCAGGGCCTTACGGTAGACCAGCTGGATGTACAGAGTGCGAAGACTGCGAAAGTGAACCTTGTTGTTCAGGAAATAAAGATACACGAGCGTCTAAAAAGCCAGGAGCGATGAGAAAGGAAAATAAATCTTGCTGCGCAAAGGATAAGGATCAAGATGAGGCTGGAGATACAGTTTTGGTGCAACGGATTATTGTGGAAAGAGCGCCGACTAGACCGAAATCTGTTTAAAGTAAAATGGATGACTTTAAGCACCAATTTCAATGAATTTAAAAAAATATATAATAAACTTTAATATTAACACGTATTACACGAATTGATTTTGATAAAACACCTATCATAAGATTATTTACACATGTTCTAGTATGTATAAATATAGCTGCACTGATAACACATTATATCATTGATAATATATATCAAATTAATGATAAAACGATAAGAAAAAATGAAAATGTATAAAATGGAGAAGGCATATTTATATTTGCAAGAGTTTTAAGTGATTCAGGTGACGGTATTTATAGAAATAAATAACATGTATAAAAAAATGTATTAAAGTATTTCTATAGGCGTTCTAGGACTATACTATATATTTAAATAAATGCAACATACTCGGAGATTGATTAAAATTAAGTGATGTTTATTGTGGCGCAGTGGTTTAAGCGGTCGCCACGCCACTTCCTACTGATAACACATATCATTGATACACACTTGGCGAAGTGTTGTGGGTTCAAACCCCACATGGGACGACACTTTGTGTGATCCACAAATTGTTGTTCTGAGTCTGGGTGTTCTTTCTGTCTGTTTCATGTATGTTTGTAAAGTCCCCCGCGACACCGAATATGTTCCTAATGCGGGAGTTGTCTTTTTAAAGAAAAAGATATGAAAAAAAAAAGATATGAAATTTAAGGACCGAATAAAAAACAGTAAATATTTAAGGGTTTTATTTTGACCAGTTGATATAACTGTTGTCTTAGTGTCTCTCTATTCACAAGACGGACAAACTGAAGGTCAATTCTCGTAATAAAAATTCGTTCAACATTCAGTTCCAATCTACTCTCGATCTTACAAATGTTATAAAAGGTATTCTCGTAGTAAAATATTACTAAGATCAGCAGAATATCGATTCACCTTTTGGTCACAATACGATATAATCACATTACAGTCACCGTTGGATGTTTAATACTTTACTAAGAAACTAGCGGACCCGACAGACGTTGTCCTGTCAAATTTGACACTGCGATGGTAGCGCCGTCTGTTGGATCCAATGTAAAACATTCCAAAATCAACAACTACTAATAAATTAAAAATTAATTAAAAAAACATTGTCCAGCGGACAAAATTGTGAATCTAAACCATTCCCAGATCCCCTTGAACACACACAAAAAATTTCATCAAAATCGGTCCAGTCGTTTGAGAGAAATTCAGTAACATACACACTCACAGAAGAATTATATATATATAAAGATTAACTTTTATGATAGTTGTGAGGTCGAGAGTAGAACGAACCTGAATTTTGAAAAAAAATCATTACGAGACTTTCTTTCGATACGTGAACCTGACCACCTTAATCTACTATAGCCTAATTGTCATGTCCTTCCTTCCGTGCTCTATTTCATAATCAAATAAAAAAACTTTAACGAAGGCTGATGCAGTATGCTAAGAAAACGCTCCCAAAATCGGAGACAGATGATGGTACTAATTATTCTTTAGATCATTATAATCTGAAAATATTTGTTTCGGAGTTTGGGTGTTTTCTATGTGTAATAAGTACATATGTATTTCCAAAAAAAAACAGTATTTAAGTATTCTACCAATCAATCTATTCATAGTACAAGCTCTGCTTGGTTTGAAACTAGATGGCGTTGTGTCTGATGTCAGAAAATATTATTATTATAATGAGTCAGAAAAAAAACCTTCTTCCTTCTTTTTACAACATTTTATTAGTATTATTTACGCTTAATAATGTAAGTAAAGCTAAATGAAACTCTAATTGTAAAACAAGTACATCACTTGACTAATAAAAATTGGCACAACGCATATTCAAACAAAATGAAAAAAAAACATGTTTAACCAAGTTGCAAAACGATGTACTTCAACCCTTGTAAATCCGGTTGATAGTTCAGTATAAGACAATTCTAAAATATTTTAAATCTGAAAAGTTTCTTGTATATATCTATACACATTAATATTAAGGAAACCGTTAAGTTAATGTGTGCATACAATTTTGTATAACTTACAGAACATTAAAACTGTCATTATAAAACACTTATTTTCTACCTGTTCTATTTAGTTCATTTTGTGACTAAAAGTTTTATGCACAAGTCGAGATGGGACAATATTTACATAGCATCGTGACGTGTCTACAACTTTTGCTAGGTGATAGACAGACTAAAAATATGATGAGCATGTTGGAATAGAATGACTTGATCCAATGAAAAGAACCTAACTTTAATTTTTATATTGTATCTTATCTTATTTTAAAATTTAACAAGACGACTCCCGCACTAGAAATATATCCTGTGTTGCGGGGGGACTTTACAGACATACATAAAACGGACACAACGAACACCCAGACTCAGAACAACAATTTTTGAATAATACAAATTGCTGTCCCATGCGTGAATCGAACTCTCAACAATCAGCCCAGTAGAAAGCGAGGTGACCGCTTAAACCACTACGCCATCCGTGCCGGCATTCCGGATTCTTTGTAAAGAAATCTTAGAAGTCGATTTGACCTCCTTAAATTATGGTCGTACTGTCATGTCATGAAACTTGGTGTCTCTACGTAGTTTGGATGACATTACTATATTAATTTGGAACTGATCTGATGAGAAAGCTAGAGGACTCAGATTTAATCAAGTTTCGACAACCAACCAATCAACAGATCGGGTTTCGTAATTATGATCTGCAGATGAAGAAGAGTATTTGATAATGGATTGTTTTTTATTTTAAATTCGGTTCGTATTTATTGAAGCCTTACTTATAACTTAATAAAGTATATCACAACACATCATACATCAACAGCCTTTAATAGTCCACTGCTGGATATAAGCCTGTCCTTAGAAAGGAGGTTTTGGCCAACTACACCATGCTGGCCAGACGGGTTGGTATAGTGTTTGTGTCAAGTTTTCCTTTACTCTGCAGCGCTGGTGTTCTGCTTTACCGTAGTCGGCTCATACGACACCCACGGGATGAATAGGGGTGGTGACACTCACACACTAAAGTACACGTATATATTAATTATAAATGACCACTAATATACCTCTTTTTTTTTCCGTGCGGAAATCCCCTCAGATACCACCTATCGGTGGCATGTCGGACTCGAACCGACTAAAACCGCACGCCGTCTCGGGTACTAATAGCCAGGGAACCAGGTATACCCTAGAAAGGAAGTCCCTGGTGCCCCGTCACAAATATACCTCTAGAAATCACGCAGAATCACATGGAAAATCTTTAATTAATCACACCATTAGCAACTCAATGCTGGTCCTTCACTTGATATAACTATTTAAACAGGCTAACTTAACTAAGTTAAAGATACAAATACAATTATTACTGTAGTAGTTTTCAGATATTCTGAAGTTTTTGTCGAGCCTGTTGGTCTAGAGGTTAGTGACCCTGACTGCTAGGCCGGCGGTCGTTGGTTCAAATCCCACCCAAGACAGATATTGTGTGATGAGCACGATCATTTGTTCTGTGTCTGGGTGTAATTTATCTATAATATGTATGTATTTAAAAATAAAAAGGGATGTTTCTCAGCGGTCTGGTTACCATAGCAGAGTCTCACAGCCGTGTGCGAGATGTGTGAGATATTATTATTATTCTTTTAGTCTAAAACGCATACCTACTTCATATAAAGGACACCGACAGCTTTGTATGGGACTTGGGCCAAGGGGTGAACATTTTTATATTGAAAAAAAAACGTTACTAGGTAGTAGCTGAATCTATGTAGAAACCAATAATATAATTAATTTAGTATCCAGGCCTATAAACAAAAATTCTTTGATTTTTGCAAACATTTCATTACAATTGTCGTCACCATCACTTTCATACACAATCAAAATATTATCCAGAAACTGAGCTGGAGGAGTAACATTTTCATACCTTGCCCAACTTAGATACCAGATTACGGACATAATGTGAGAGCAACAACCCACAGTTCTTCGACCAACAATGCAGTTAAAGTAATACTCTTTAATTGCATTTAAATTCTCTATATTACTGTCAAATAATATATAAATAAAATATGTTTCCTACTTATGTGTCTGCTTTGTATTTTGGCCATTAATAATGTGCAATTGTCGGCTGAAGGAAGACTTGGCAAAAGGTTGCCGGCTCTTTCTATACAAACTTCGACTGTTATATGAACCATCACTTCTTATGTGTTCTCCAAAATATGATCTAGCCTGTTTTATTTGATATGTTCCACATGCTAACATACGTTGTCGTGAGAAGAATTATTTAAATCCATTTTGAATAGAATATCCAAAAATAAACAAATAACAAATAGTGATACCGTGCGCGCCTAAGCCAATGCCAGACATGACATTAGTCAAATGTTGTTAGAGTAAGAAAAAAATATACCCATGTGCTGTTTAATGTTCTTCATCACAATTTATTTTTAGACATATATTTTGTCTTAAAAGGAGAGATATATATATAATAGAATTAATTATATCTTGTAAGTATTACAGACTTCAAATTACTTTGTAAGTGAGACTATTATTTATTAGTGTGTTTTTTTTAATCACTTTTTCCACTACTTATTTTTTGTATGCAACACTTACGACACGTTTCGCTCACAAAATGAACGGATGTACGTCATAAATAATGATAAATATTTTGAAATACTTTTTTTATATATGCTCACTTGATATTAACAAATTGTACTCATAATAATTTTATAATAAAAGAAAATTATGACCATTTTCATTTATTTATAAAACTGCTGTCCGCACCTTGGCCCAAATCGGTCAGCCTCCTTTCAGTTTTCTGTACTTCTTCGTCAATTTTTAATTTTACGGCCACCACCATAGGAGTTTTTGTTGTCATACGACCAGAGGTGACATGCACCTGACGGTAATAGATTACCGCCGCCTATGAGATTTATGTTTATTACTAGGGAGCCCCTTAGTTCAGGGGCCTCCCCCAGAACTATATAGCTCTAGTAACCTCACGCACTCAAGAATGGAAGACAATTGTAGGAAAATTATGTTGTTTAAAAGAATGGG